AATGAGGGAGATGTAGCGCCCGGACCGAAAAAAAAAAAAAAAAAAAAAAGGCCACGTCGGCAGCCACGTCAACAGGCCCGGTCAGCAGTCCCGGCCAACCGGGACCTGCCACGTGGCAAAACCACGTCGTTCCAAAAAGGGCCACATTGGCGATCCGCATGGGCGCGATCGGACGGCCCAGATCAAGCGTGCGATCGGACGGCCCATATTTAATCAAAAACGGACGGCCCAGATTAAAACAAAATGGACGGCTGAGATCAAAAGGCAAGGGGTTATAAATAGAACCCCCACACCAGACCACAAACCCTAGCCGCCTGCCACTCGCCGGAGAAGACGAACCAAAAGCCAGCCGCCGCCACCCGCCGCCGCATCGGAGGAACTTCCGACCGCCGATCGAGCTAAATTTCGTACCCCGACTCGTTTTTCTACGCTGATTCCTCCTGTGGCCAAATCGGAGCCAAAATCCTGGCCAAACGGCCAGAATACACGGCCGAAGCCCAGCAGCGCCGCTGCGCCCTTCTCGGTTTTTGCCTCCGATGAGGCCCTTCCCGGCCTCCGTTAGATGCAATTTTTATATCACCGTGATCACCATTCTTTTCTCTACAGGTTGACCAGAGCCGAATCACCAAAACACGAACCTCGCCGGAGAGCCGCCGCACCCGAGAGCGCCATCGCCGGTAAACTCCATTTTTCCGTGATTTTTTGGCCCCCCGAGGGCCCTAGGGTTGTTTTCTCGCAGGGACCGATGCGAGTGTGGCCGAATTCGGCTGGAAACGGCTGAAAACAGCCAACCCGAGGTGAATCGCCGCCGCTAGCGGCGGCGCCATCGCCGGAGCACGGCGGAGCCACCGTGCTGGAGTTGCGATTTGGGCCGAAAGAGGCCCTGGGCCTAATTTGGTTTTTTTTGGAACACGTGCAGGTACCAGTAGTGCGTTTCAGTTCCCCGAGGAAAATTCAGGGAAAATTAGGGACAGCCTGCAAGCGCACTGTGAAGCCGTGTTGGGACCCCGAAACGAGTAAGGACCCCTCACCCTATTTCCTATCACGGTTTTAAAGTCCAATAAATGATAAAACGGTATTTCGTGAATCAACGAATGTGTGAAATTGCTTAAGGTCGCTAATGGAGCCCGAGTCTAGTGTGTTTGTCGGTTAACTGTTATTTGGCATGTTTTACAGTTTTAAATGCAGCATGAGGTTCAATGTTTTCATTTTATAGTTTCGTGTGCATATTTTACTGTTTTATTGATTATGGATTGAATGACCGGGATATTGATGCTGTATGTTGTCTGTTTGGCATAAATTATCGTTTTGCTTGTTTGTATGTGATTGATAATGCTGACTGAGGGAAAAGGAGAATGAAAGATTATGTGAATGAAAATTGTATAATGTGTTCAGCCTGACTAGATATCCTGGGAGATGGTGGACGGACCGGGTCCGTAGGGAACCCTACCGGGATTGTGGTCTCCCATACCGGACAGGGTATGGAGATCTTATGTGTTTTGGCGCCCATACCGGACGGGGTATGGGGACGGCCCGTTTCACCCTCATACCGGACGGGGTAATGAGGTCTATGTTTTGGTGCCCATACCGGACGGGGTATGGGGACGGCCCTGGAATATGATTTCGAGTGTTAAGGATTAACGGGTAGCGGGACCCCTATGGATCCCCATGGATACTAGTGGGCTGGTGAATTAGGAAAATATGTTGTGTAACGATTGAATTACGAAGAGTGTGATAGGTATTATGTTATACAGTTCATATATATGTTTTCATGATGACGATGATGTTATTGCTTTCGTATATTGTTTTTATGAATTTCACCGAGGTAAGTAAATGGTAAAGGTTTTATTTTCGATAAAAGGATTTGTTGTAATTTATGCTCCATTGGTCTTTTTGTGTTTTCTATCCACCTTTACCTCCGTGACGGTGAGATATCGTGATGTCTTTACTGGGCTAATGTAGCTCATTCCTTATTTAATCATTTCATATCAAGAGGACATCGTTCCCGAGTCGGTTCCGCAGGAGGACGACGAAGGGGACGCCTAAGGACTCCATAGTCACATTCGTAGTTTTTACTTTCAAGTTTCCCCTTTAGGTAGTTTAATCTTTTATATTTTGTGAGCACGTTTTTTGTTTTAGTGTAAGGGATGTTAATCAAATTTTGTCTTCGCTTCCGCATTTGATATTTATAATATAATTTCCATTTTAAATTTCCGAGGCTGTTACAGGAGAAGTTAGGAAATTGAATTTCTCCGTATTTCATGGTTTTAAAATAAAAAGGGGAAGAAAAGTCTTATATTTTTTATTGATTGTATGTTGATATGTCGCATGCTCAGGGTATAATCTACTCAATATACTTACTGAGCCTGTTGTTTTACTGATTCTATTCAAATTCTAATATTTTTAATATCAGACCAAGGAAGATAGTTTATAGAGTCAAATCAAGAATTTCATGTTTTAGTTTTCATTAGGTGAGTTTTAGTTGAGTTATGAACTCTGTAGAATTTTGTAACCTCATGAATGTAATTTAATATTACGTTATGTACAAAGAAAAAACAGCTTTTGTTATATTTTAGTTAAATTTTTATGTCGTATTTTATGATTTAATTGTGTTTAGCAGCGTAGTTTTTCATTGGAGAACTGTGAGTCGTCGCAAGAATTAGTTATTCCATTTAATTCTAGGTTATGCTTTCATGGCCAAATAACTAGATGGTAAGTATTGTTTGACCCAGAAAAAACCGACAAGTTTGTAGTACTAAGGTCAAGGAAAATAATTATTATTATTTAAGTTTAGGTTCAAGAGAAATTATATTATTATTTTATAAAATTTGTGAAATTATTTTATAATTTATATAAATTACTAAGTCTTTTTTTTTATAAATATAGAAAGACTAATCCTATATATATAAGCTAATTGTTGTAATTTAATTAAAAGATTCTAAAATTCTAAGAAGATAAGAGAAGAAAATGAAGAAAGAAGAAGAATAAACTTTAAATTAGAATTTTATTATATGACATTTAGATATTTTTATTAAAAGAATAACTCGTACAATATATATATATATATACATATGTATAAAAGATTAGTACAATAAGTATTCTTGCCACATCTTTATGTTTTTGTCAATCTTCTAGAACCAACATGTTATTTATAATATTCACATTCAAAACACATTTAAGTTATATGATTATGATTAAAATTGAAGAAGTTATGAATTTTAAAAGTCAATGACGATAGAGAAAACACAAATAGTGGATAATGAGATTTCAATAATTTTTTTTGACAAAATTTTACTCAAGCAAACAATTTTATTTATAATCTACACATTTTTTATGTAAAAAATATATATCAAAATTATATGATTTAGATGAAAATTAAGTGAGTTATGAATTTTAAATATTTAAGATTTTAGAAAAATATAAACTATGTAGCAGTGGACTTTTGACGATGTTATTAACTCTTCTGTCAAAAGTTTAGCCAAACCCTACATAATTAATTATAATCTAAATACCATAAACACTAGAAATTAAATAATTTAGATGAGAAATGATGGGGTATGAATCTTTGAATACTTAGAGATCCTGAAAAAAAATGCAAAGTCCAACAAAAACTTTAAGATTTCAAATCTCTAAGGATCGTTTTGATTGATTTTTTATATTCTAAATTAAAGTCTTTTAATACGAGTATATAAGAATTATTACTTATTTTGATATTTTCTGGAGAACTAAATTTTTAGAATTGGTTTATATGCATTAAGCAAATATGATAATTTAGACCTTAATATTTGATGGGCAATTTTATGATGCTAAAATTGATATTATTATGGTTGAAAATTTAAAAGGAGTATCTAAAGAGATTTGAGACATTGAGTGAATGAAAATTTCGATTTAAATAATTAAAATATATTAATTAAATTTTTATATTTAAATTAAAAAATTATTTTATTTAAAGACCTTTTAACTTCTTTGAATTTTTAAGATACAGTTTTAATTTAGAAAATTTATTGATTATTAAATTTTTAAAGCATAATCTAGTTAAGTTTAAGATTTATTTCACAATTTATGAAATTTTTTCTTATAGATATGCGACGTTGTGACGTACTAATTTTAGGTTTGGGATGTTATGAATTCGGTCTGGATTGGGTTTTGGTCTCAAAATTTTTGAACCGAAATTTGTGGTGTATTCTGATTTATATTCGGATTAATATTTTTAATATTAAAAATTAAAATAATATTATATATAATGTATTAGATATTATAGACATAAAATATTAAAATATTAAATATATGAATAGTATATATTTGTTATGTAATATTTAAAATTAAAACAACTCGAAACCACAATCAGAAATTATTTAAACAACTGCATTAAAATTGAAGTAAAAAGAATACATATATTAGAGGCAAGCAGCTCCAGTTTCCTCGTTTTCGAAACCAAACGTTGACGAGGAAGGAGGAGGGCCAATCTCTTGCTCTTTCCCATTATTGTTGATGTCTAGGTTGGATTCAGACCTAATTTTATAATTTCTTTCTAAAACCTAGTCGATCACTGATTTTTGTTTTTTTGCTTGTTTCCTAGCTCCTCGACAAAACCCTAATTTCCGGACACAAGGGAAGTGAGGAGTTTTTTTTTCTTGCATGCATAAGCATATGCATTTGCGACGAGGTCGATCATTGAGAGGAAGTAGGGAGGAAGGGATCGTGAAGAGTAGATGCATGTCGGTGGCATAACGGTGGATCTTAATTTGCTCCTTCAACTGATACTCACAGCGTTTTTGTTTGCGAGTGGGTTGCTATATCTGGTCAAGAAGACGGCGTCGAAGTACTTCGAGGTCGACGCCAATTTCGACAGGAATCATCAAAGTTACGCTGCAATCCCAGCGGTTGAGATGGAATCTGACTCTTGTGCTGCCTGCGGCCAACCCGCTAACAAGAAGTGCTCTCGCTGCAAATCCGTTCGTTATTGGTACGCTACCACTTTTCTAATAAATATTCTACGATTAGTGTTAATTATGATTCTTTCTACGATTAGTGTTAATTATGATTCTCTATCTTTTATTTTCTGGATCCTTAAATGGAATTTAGTTTGGCTTTATGCGATTCTGCTGGTTGTGTGTCGTTACTGTCGCAAGTGATCGTTGCTTGTTAGTGATTTCTAGTTAATTAAATTCCCCCCTTTTAAAATTATATGTATAATGTGATGATAGGATTTCTTTTTCTCCCTTTATTTTTTGGGTCTTCTTTTTGCTTTTTCTTTTTTTTTTCCCCGTATGATTAACAGTATAGTGTTTCCTGATATTTGTACTTCCAAAAATTTTTTTACTGATATTTATATAGGCAGTTGATTCTCCTTGGAGATTTCTTGATTTGTTCTGTTTTCATAAGTCAGTATTTTCATGCATGGTCGTTGTTTTCATTGGTTTACATTAAATTCAAGAATAAGCTTAAGCTCTAATGTATAGTGAAGGATTGTTAGAAGCTCAGTGCTTTGAAAGTCTTATTCGTTTAGGATTTAGATTGTTTTGAAATTTATGTTATTGTTCTTGATGCAGGAAGATTTTTGCTTAAATTTATATTATTTGCAGCAGTTGGAGTTTATTTAAGTGGAGTTTTACTTTAGTTGAATAATTTTTTCTACTCATAAATCTTAATTCCCATATAACTCTTTGTTCTGGCCGGAACTTCTGGTAGTCATGATAATACATGGAAGGAAAAGCCAATTTCTCGCTGATATTAATTTGCCTGCTATTTCCTTCCTTGATCTTATGTGCTTAATATGGAAGCAGAACAATTGTTTCCTTTCCATAGACGAGAGGTGCCTTTCTTTACATTGAAGCTATCATAGTAGTATTTACATAAAAGGCAAATCTGTTTCATGATTGCTTGGTAAGGACATAGGAATTTACCCTTTTGGAGTAGATAGTTTTTCTGATGCTCTCAACTGCTGAACCCTCTATAAGGGGAAAAGAGTATCTGGACATTATTATATAACCATTATATATTTAGTCTATGTTGCTTGAACCCTTAGTTTTAGTGCCATGTCATGTCAAACATGGCATGGCATTCGTGTCGGTATGGGATATGTGTCCACATATTGGACATTTGGTAATTTAACTAGACGTTATAATGTATGATAATATGAAGACAATGATGAAGACTTTCGAATTATAAGTTGAAAAAGAACTTATAAATCGAATTGAAGTTTCTTGAATGTTTTTTAGGAGAAGTTTCTTGAATGTATAAATATTGGATATTTTTGTAGTGATAAATACCTAATCAGTTATTCTTACTAATTAGTATATATTTCCCATTCACTTACCAATTTCACTTTGCTATCTTTTTGTGCCAAGAACTATATTTTGTTAATTTTATGACATTTTCAGAGCTCTCTAAAGGTTAGATTAGTTTTATTATTTTTCATGTCAAACGAATCCAAGTATCTATATCCAATTTGTGTACTCTTATCAGCCAAATCGTTGTACATTTTACTATAAAAACTATTGAGTCTGACACATAGATCCATACAAATAACTGACACTTCATCCGTGTCCAAGCAACATATGTTGAATCCGAGCAAAATAACATTTAGTTATTTATTAACATTATTATCAATACTTTTAATATTCAAAGTTCAACTGGTGATGGAAAAGTGCATGCTGATGACTATCTGCATTTTGGTCTTGTGTTCCTTATACATGGATGCTAGAAAAGTTTTATCACTTCATTATCTTTTTCCAGCTCATCAACCTGCCAAAGTTCACACTGGCGTTCTGGGCATAAGACAAAATGCAAGGAATATAGTGCTCTCAACTCAACACCATCGGTAAGAATTGATGTCAGATCTAAAGGTTCTGGTACTGGTGGAAAAACCTTTTCTACAGTTGCACTTGTTCCTGCACGTGGGACTTCGAAGGTGGCAGGGAAGTTGAGAAAAGTAATGTTCTCTTTTGCTTGTTTATTCAGTTTCACATTATAAATTCAATATGGCTTATTATAAACTTATTATGTATTTTGATCCCTTATTGTCATTTGACATATTCTACCTATGATGCATCTTTTTAGTGTTCTATGCCTTCATCAAGCACCTGTTATTTAAGAAATTGCTCTTGTATTTTCAGGTCCTTTTCCCATATGATGAATTTGTCAAGTTTTTTAACTGGGACAAGCCAGGATTTCTTCCCTGTGGGCTCTTAAATTGTGGAAATAGGTTTGCATTTGCTGCTTATGTTTTGTTATTAAACTATCAATTTGACGAGCTAGGTTTTCTTGTCAATTCTCTTGGTCTTTATTTATTCTGTTCAACCTTTTACATGCAGTTGCTTTGCCAATGTGGTTTTACAATGTCTTCTCTTCACGCGTCCACTTGTCGCATACTTGCTGGAGAAAGGCCATCGGAGAGAGTGTACATTTTCTTTTTCACGATCCCTTTTGGTTTTGTATTTGTTTTGGATTAGTCTCACCCCTACAAATGTTGTATTTTATTTTACAGGCAGACGGAATGACTGGTGCTTCCTATGTGAATTTCAAACCCTTGTTGAAAGAGCAAGCCAAAGTCCCCAACCATTTTCACCAATCAACATTCTTTCCCGATTAACTAATATTGGTGGTAGTCTTGGGTATGGAAGACAAGAGGACGCTCATGAGTTTATGAGGTTAGTCTTGGATTGGATTTTGAGATAATATCCCATTATTTTGACTAAGTTTGGCATAAATTTGTTAGTATTATTGTATTTCAAAAAAAAAGTGAGAGTGTTATTAAGCTTTTTTTGTACATTTTGTAGGTTTGCCATCGATACAATGCAATCAGTTTGCCTTGATGAATTTGGTGGAGAAAAAGCTATCCCTTCTAGTTCTCAAGAGACAACACTTATTCAACATACATTTGGTGGACATCTTCAATCTCAGGTTATGCATCCTAGTGCTTTTTTTTCCGCAGATTTTATAATCTTTATGCAACAATTAAATTGAAATGTTATAGATTCTGCACCATATCGCCATGTGGAATATGCCTTCCTCTGCATCATTTTAAACTAAAATATAATATGGTCCTAAACTAATAATTTTCCTGCAAAGAGAGAATTTGATGCTGTAGATACTACGTTACCTGGTGCACTCATTTTCTTCTTGCCTGCAGTAGATGAGAGTTTTGCTCCACCATATTTTAAAATATTTTTCTGTTGATTTTGTTCCCATTTAACCCGTCTTTTATTTTCCATTGCTTCACTATGTCAAAACAACGGCAAAATCTATATTCTCCATTTAATCTTCTTTTTCTATCTCAGGAAAAAAAAACATCAATTTGATTTCTTGAAGTTTCTAACAATTATTGATGGATTTCATAGTTTCTTGTGCTTAAGCATACCGGTGATGCCAATCAGAGTTGTTAGTTTCTGATGTGTCAGTTTGTTCTTTATTGTTTAGGTGATATGTACAAATTGCAATAAGATTTCAAACCAATACGAAAATATGATGGATCTGACTGTTGAAATACATGGAGATGCTGCATCATTGGAGGAATGCCTTGATCAGTTCACAGCAAAAGAGTGGCTTCATGGTGACAATATGTATAAATGTGACGGGTATGCTTATTTCTATCTTTCCGTAAAGCTCAAAACTTTCTGTACATTAGTTCATAGTTCACCCTCATTGAATGTGAGATTTTAGATGCAGTCCTTATTACTATCATTGCATGGACTTCAAACTTTCAAGTCTCATTAGGATTGTAGT